ACAGACTGATCATCAAAAAGGTCCCGAATAACTATTTTCTCACATTCTAAGTCCATAACCAGCTGCATTAAACGTATAATTTCTGCATCCTTCTGTTCTATGCATTTTTTGATTTCAGTGTTAATGTTAGGAGGGCTTGACTGGTTGAACAATCAAGATCAACTATAACTCTTGCCCCTTAACTCCCATGAGAATTCAAGGTGTTTGTGCTTTGCTTCCCACTGCCTTATGATGCCCCCATCCTTTCGATTTTCTTTGACAAGCATATTGATGATGTCGGGTTGGCTTGTGCTTCCTATGACAATAGCTCTCTCACCAGGTGGGCTGCTAAAGGGAATTTTGATGTCCTCGTCACTGTCATTTATGTCAACTCCCTCCTCGGGAAATTCAGAGTTGCTGCCACTATGTTGTGCTTCCTTGATGTTAACGAGTTTGGGTGATGTGGTGTCTGGTTCATCACATTAGGGCTCCACCTTCAATGTGGTACGCTTGAACATTTGGAATTCTGTTTGGGTTGCGAAGAGCTCGCCGGCATTAACCTAAAATGGAAAAGTCATTTTAGTTAATGTACATATTTGAGTGGTGTCATGATGTGAATGTTTTGAACACCATTTAAAGGTCGTACCTCATTAAAACCAAGATCAGCCAACGATGTGGATCTCATCTTCTTGTGTAAAGCAGTTAGGTCCCACTTGTCACAACGAGGAATTGCATTGGGCTTGTGGAGTTGTAGGATGGTTGTGTGCTCACACAACCAGTACTTCAACAAACAACGAAGAGATATGTTATTTTGCTATTTCAGACCAATCTCGACAGTTGTAAACATTGACAACAGTGCCACGGATGTGAATTTAAACATTGCACAGGTGTGCATATAAACATTCACAACAATGCCACATGTCTGAGTGTGAACATTTACAACATTGGCACTGTTGTGCATGTTCACATTCACACATATGGCATTGTTGTGAATGTTCACAGTCACAACAGTGACACATATGTGAATGTTCATAGTTACAATAATGGCACCGATGTGAATGTTTATAGTTGGCTAGAGATGAAAACAATCGAGACCATGTGAATGTTAATATTTGGGAACATGGGTACTTACCATCAATAACATGACACAATCGGTGACTTTTACTAGCTTTTTGTTGTTCTGGGAAATGGAGGATGTAAGCGTTGTTCTAATTTGTTTGGCCCAATCATATTCTTACATTCTTTCCAATAGGACCATATGTGCATAGTAACCCCATCCTATTGTCTCGCCGCTTGTCGAGAAAAAATTTTTTTGGTATGCATACATACACACTAATCGTGCGACTTCTTCGTTGTCACCTTTCTTCTTGTCATTCAATGCCTCAGTCAAAAGGGTGCGTATCCATTTTGAGTTAAATCGGCTGACATTATTGCACTTTTTTTGTATAATGCCAGTCTTCGGTTTCGTACCATATGATATGCCCATTGGTTTGGTGCCATGGTCCACACCAAAAATCAACTTAATGTCGCTGTCGTGTATGTTCATCTTCTTCTCCCCAATGTAGAAGGCATCTTTTGATGCCTTGTACATCTGTAGAACATGCACAACAACATCATTGTACTTCATGCATTTATCAAGCTCGATCTCACCAGTTCTCAATGTATTTAATAAATGCCAGAAAGGTGTTTGTCACAGGTAACCGAGTTGTGCTTGTGTGAGTTTGGTGCTTTTCATTAATTTCACCAAGCCGGTCATGTTAGATTTATAGTTGACACGGCGCATATCAACATTGCTGCTAGTATTTGCATGTGGGCTTTCTTCATTAACATGATATTCACCTCTTTTTCGCTTTGAGATTTTTTTTTCTATGCAATGTCTGCAAAATAGAGCATAAAATTTAAGACAAGACTCATGCGCTTAGAATGGATAACAAGTGGTATATGATGCCAACAACATCAGTTATATGAACATTCAACATAATGATGTTTACAGTGATAGTTGGTGGATGTAAATATTCACAACGGTGCACATATGTGAATGTCAACATCTGGGTTAACAGACTGATATGCATATTCACATCTATCCATGGATGTGGAGTTCCACTGTCATAGCATAAACACAGTGTGCACAGTGTGTGTGTAAAGATCATTGTGTGTTGATACAACCATGAAAAACATTTAAGAACATGCTAATGTTAATCAAAACAGATCAATTTATGTTGTGAACATTCTCATTACTACTTTCGATGCCAATGCACAAACTCATTACAATCATGCAATGCCAATGTTATAGTTCAACCTCAAAATTGAAATGCAGTTTCAAACATGGAATAACAAAACTGATATGTTTCCTCTGAACACAGTGGTGAATATTCACAAAGTGTCTAATTAATTTACACATATTATGAATATTTACAACATAATTATATCTAACAACAACATCTCACACAAGCAAGTTAGATTATGATTCTTTGTTTGCATGCACATGTTTACTATTATTAACAACAACAATATTAGGGGCAAAAACAATAACAATATGAAATTACACACATTGTATGCATAGAAACAGGAGATATGAGTGGAAGTTCATATTGGTGCAATTTGAATAGGACATTCACATGATCAAAAAAAAAATAACAAAAGAATAACATCTGCAATATTTGGCTTGGCCCAACATATTGACTACGACATTCAATTTGAATAGGACATTTACATGAGCTTCCACATTTGTCAAATGCTAACCCAACATATCAAATTATATTATGAACATTCACACTTTTAATATAGATGACAATGCGTATACTTATTATAGTCATGCAATGCCACTGTTACAGTGCAACATCAAAATTGAAATACATTTTAAAACATTAAAGTTGACATGGAAATAACAAAAGTTCGACCACGATTCTTTGTTCATGTGAATGTTCAATAGTATCAACAACAACAATATTCGGGCCAAGAATAGTCTGAATGTTCACATATGAGTATCATACAACAACTCCACAATGGAAACAACTGTGTTGGTCCACATTTTTTCTCCATGTGAATGTTTACTACTATTAACATACAAGTTGTTATTGCAATTTTTTTTGGGGGTGAGGGTTTCACATTCAACGACTATTAGTGTCAATAACAACAATTAAACAACAATGGGAATAACAACAATAGTATGAACTTCACACATTGCACAAATAGGATTAATAAATTTGGTTGACAGTTGAAATTTTAAAAAAAAAAAAAAAAAAAAAAATTCTACTCCAAAAAAACTAAAAACTCCTTATTGAACACTTGGGTTTAAAAAAAAAAATTAAAAAAAAAAAAAAAAAAACAGAGGATTACAGTTTGTATATAAGATTTGTGATGAACACTTACGTTTTTTCACCATTTTTGATGATTTGGGTTGACACAAATGAGACAATGAGATGGTGGTGATTCTGGTGAAACAACAGTAACAATGGGTAATAAGAGCGACAATACGATGGGATTCACGGTGTTTGTGACGCTTGCGCTGCCAATGATGCGGCGATAAGACGATGCAACAATGGCGGTTTCCAACGAATTGGCAGTAATCACCACGCGGCAATGATGGGCTTCACAGTGCTACTGAGGTTTGGATTGCAACAGATGGGACGATAAAACGATGTAACGATGTCGGATTTTGGTGATCGACTGTGATTATAGTGAAGAACAGAGCAGAGATGATGAGACGATGGGAGAGATGGAATGTTGGGGATTGATGACCTAGGGTTTGGGATTTTGAATGGGGAGATATATCCGACGAGATCATTGCTTAACTGATTCTATGTTTCAATTCAAACATACAGAAACGTGAGAGAGGCTTGAGGGGCTCTTTGGTCCTATTACATTGAATGGGATCTAATGGGATAATCAAAAAATGTTTGGATTTTATGGTATAAAATTCTTAGGAAGGGGATTTATCAAAAAAGCTCTCATTAAAAATAATAGGCTAATAATATATTTGTATAATGTTTTATGTTGAGAAATATAGAAAAACTTATAATTTATTGTACTTTTAAAAATTAATTATCAATTAATTAAAAAATTTATGACTTTAATTATTAATATTAATAAAATTTATCATTGATCTGTAATTATTTTTTTAGAGGTACAATGACATGTTATTTTCTTGAAAATATAAAGTTAAAAGAGATGAAATTTTAGGGTAAATAATATTTTTAATTAAATTTAATATTTTAGCTAAGGGCTTTGGTGAAATGCCAATTTTTGTATTACAAAAAAAATAAAAAATAGAAAATAAAATAAAAAAATCATTTATAAGAGATGAGAAGTGAACTACATTTTGCATAATAAAATAAAATAAAAAAATCATTTATAAGAGATGAGAAGTGAACTACATTTTGCATAATATCATTGTATTTACAAAAATAAAAGGAAAGTGTAAATTTTTTAAAAAGGAAACATGAGTGTATAGTTGTTGCATGAAAATGTGGGACTTGTCATAAAAACAATTTTTGCTTTTATTTACTCTCTTCTTCTTCTTCTTCTATTTTTTTACATGATTATTTGGAGTAAAAAATTTAAATTATTCATCTAGTTAAACAAATTTATTGTAAAATTTATAAAGAATTATTTATTTTATTAATTATATTTTGTAATTATTATTGAAAGGGTTTTATTTATTTGATCAAAAAATATTCATGCCTATGTTTAGCAACATAGATTAAAGTTTTACAAATTTAAGAGATGACTTTCATATTGTCAAGAAGAGGGCATAAATATAATTCAGTCATACAACCTCAATAAGTTATCAAGTGATGGAGGACATCATAGAAACAACTTTGAGCTTAAATTGGATTACAATTTCAGCCAAAATCATCCTTACCCAGCCAATGAAATTTAAGAATTATTTTTGGGTAAATTCTTAATTTTACACACACATGTACAACATTATAGTTTGTAGTTGGTTAATTTCCATGATTTGTTTTATGAATGAATCTCTACTATTTTGTCAAAAAAAAAAAAAAAAAACCAAACCAAACCAAAACAAAACAAAACAAAAAAACTAGAGGTAAAAAAATTCCATGGCTAATTCCAACATAAAGCCAGGGGATTAGGAATTCAGATTGTTAATCATCCCTCTTCCCTGACCTGTATATGTATATTTATTGTGAAATTAAATGATTAGTGTGCGACAAACTTATTTATCAAATTATGTTAAAGCATGATTGCTAATCACATTTCTTAAACACTTATAGGTCATGTTTGATTCACAATACTAATAGTGAGGTATTAATAATCCAATCAAATTAGTGTGGTATTAACTATCCCACCCCTACCCCATTACTAATAATCCTACAAATTTGTTGGATTAATTATCCATTGGATTAATAGTCCTAAACCAAAATGTCAAAACAAACATAGGATGATTGGGCCCACGGATTAATAATCCTAATCCCATCCTTTAATCCTTCCAATCAAACATGCTCATAGAAAACAACATATTTTTTAACGTTAAGTGAAAAACATGATACACGCTTTAACATAATTTGAGATATAAGTCAATTTATACACTAGTTACGCAAATTGGTCCGAACATCCAGTAATTAAAAAACAAAATTGAATTGAAAAAAAACCTAGTGCACCAACCCAAGAAGGGGGGATTGAAAGCCTAGTGTGCAAACAAACATTTAAATAGATCTTGCCACAAGGAGGCAGGAGATTGGGAAGGGGTGGAATGGAGAAAGAAATGATATATACACAAAATGCTATAATATATAATAACTACCAAATCTTCACCAGACACCAAAGAGTTAATCTAGAAGGTTTTGGCACCAAAAGAAAAAAAAAAGTTTGGGTAATTGGGAAACAAGAGTGAAAGGGGCAACGGGGTAATTACATGTGATCTATATTCTTCGACCACCCAAGATTCCCAGCTGCAGTGAGCATCGAACCATACTTGGTGAGCTGTCAATAATAATCATCTGACTCAGTGTCATAGTAGTCATCGTAATCCTCCTCTTCATCATCATCCTCATCTTCATCATCCTCATCCTCATCCTCATCCTCATCATCATACAATATATTATCCTCGTCCCAGAGTGGACATGAGCACGTCGCTGCCTTGTTCTTCCACTCAGCTCCACAAGTATAGCAAAACTCAAAACCACACCTACAAAAATCAAGCTCACCTATTAGATACAAAAGGTGTGCAAATATGATAACGGAAACTGTAACATGGTTCTTTTTTTCCTTCCTAACAATTTAATTTCTGAAGTACCCATGATGAAGATGAGATGAGGAAGACAATTGAGGGTTAACTAAACAGTGAACTCCTACAACAAAATCAACTAATAAAACAACCCTAAAATGAATTCCTTCATTGTTTCAGATTTTCGCAGCATTTTCTCATGGAAACCAACATTGAACAATTTGGCAACTAAAACAGAATATACTACTACATTATTTCCTGGAAAATTGAATCCGGTGGGAAAGAAACAGTAATGGCATCAATTGCCACGTGTATTTAAGTCCAACCCCTCCCCTAATCTCAAAGCACAATTAAAAGAAAAAAAGGAGAAACATTTAACCAACAATTTACCAATTCATGCAAATTGATGAACATGGAATAATTGGTCAAAAAATTGCTGGAAGCAGAATCAACAAGTAATAGAGCAAAGAAATGGCCCTCTCTCCTCTCCCTCTTCTAATGAGTTGTGACCTAAATTTTGATGGAGTTAACCATGTGAGATCATCTTTGGTCAGTTAATATTGGATTAACTACACCATGCAACCTTGGTCCAATGGTCAACTTCTTAGTAATCATGTAAGGTTTGTTTCCTGCTACACAAAATAAAGCATATGCAATTAATCTCTCATTGAAGCAACAACCAGAACCTGTGAATCCACGCAGCTCCCAAACTCCATGAAGACGGAAACTGAAAGAATGAAATAGATCACCAAACCATGACCTCGTGATGGGAACACATGGTAATTTCCATTTACCAGGCAATTTAACAGGTGAACAAGTCGCTGTGAAATCAAATTAACTACAAAGACACATAAATAAGCTATTAAAGCCACAAACTCTTGCAAATTCGGGCACATAATCAACAACAATAGTGCAGGATTACTAAAGCCTCGTTTGGCAAGTGGTGATTTTAGCCAAAAAGTTAAAAAGTCATTAAAAAAATCAAAAAGCCAACAACCTATACCAAAAAGTCAAAGATTCCTTTTTCTCTCTACTTTTTGCACATCTTTTCAAAAAAATCAAAAAGTAATCCCAAACATTCTTGTTTTTTTTACATCATATTTTAGCGAAAAAGCCAAAAAGTTACTAAAAAAGCCTGTTCCCAAATGAGGCCTAAGAAAAAATTTAAAAAATCAACGCATAAAACCAAATTAGAAAGTAGACTAGGGTGTATGGTTTTCAGAAGAAAGATCAAAACCGACTGTGGTAACTGTAAATATTTATAAGCATGATTATCTTGAGTATTAGCTAAAAGATCAAAACCAATGATTGTACATGGGTCAACATAGTTATGAAGGAATACATCAAAAGATAGCCTTAGTGAGTTTCTAACTAAAACAAAATATATAGCTGGATTCTCCGTATTAAATAGATGCTGGAAGGATGAATGTCGCATGCACAGCATGGCTATTCAATGGATTCGTGAAATAATCAATAAGGTTCAAATGCATAAATAATTAGCCGTATAGAAGTGCTACCATAAATAACAGCTATGATCTGATATTGAAGCCATAAATACAATCTTATTCTGCAAAAGTTGGGAAGATACTCAAATTTACTCCTTTTTAAATATAAAAAAAATTATAAATAACTGGAAAGAAATCATGCACCTGCAAGTCATATGGTAGCACCCCGCAGCAAGTTCAATCATATGGTTGCACTTTACACATTGACGCCACAGGTTCCGATCTGCAAGAGTCTTCAGCTTTGCATCCTCTACAGGGGGAAATGGATTTTCCCTTTTGTAGTCAAGGCAGCTCTTCTTGGTATGCCATGGAACTTTGCAATTGATACAGAAGAGGCCTTGACATTTTGTGCATTTCCTGACTCCGGATTGTTGAACGAGTAATGTCAACTGCGAATATTCCAAAACCTCACTTTTCGACATTAAGGCTGAGCACTTGGGATATGGGCAATAAATTTTCTCAGTGGCTGGAATGGAAGCTTCCTTAATGCGCTGGTTCATAATCTCAATTAATTTACGAGTCAAAAATTTTCTGCAGCTCTCGATTTTCAGTTCAGAATTACAGCCTTCGTGAGGGCATTTGGGCAACATTCCATGAAGCAACTTCACTTCTACATGCTGTTTCATACAAGAAAAGCAATAACGATGCAAACAACCATCAACTGCAAACATCTGACCAACATCCACATCCTCTAAACAAATTACACAAGTCTCGTGCATGTTCTTGGCAGAACTAGATTCAGAAGGCCTGTTGACCTGAGAAACTATTGCCTCTCGCGCAAGCTTGAATGCAAATTTCATATCATTCCGGGCTACAAGAGATGGGGCAGAGTACACAAATTTTTTTTGAAGTAGGGTCACCTGGCTAACTAATGTTGCAATCTTCCGTTGCTTGGGTGGCCATCGACCAATAACCTGCATTGACCAATACAGTTTGTTATCTCGTATTTATAACTGGTTCCAGTACGATGGCACAAAGCATACGTTGCTGAAACATTGTAAACAGTCCAAAGATGACGAGAGAATCACACAAAAGACAGGCAAATACCCAGCTTTCCAATAAAAATGCTCTGAACCTTTATTTAGAAAAAGGCAGAGCAAGTATATTAATATAATAATATAAAATCACAAAATAAATCTGAAGGGAAAGGAGAAATTAAGGATCATTATAAGCACAATTTGACCATTGATACAGAAATTCTAAAACTTAAAAATACTACTTCACCATAAAATTGTCATAAAAGAGAGTTATGGGCAATTAGAGTCGAGAAAAAAATTTGCAGAGAAGTTTTTGAGTTCATTGTTAGTTGGACAACAGAAAAACAGAATCATCTTCTATTATTTATCAAAAAGAAAAAAAATAGATTCATCTTCTATTCTCATTTCGCGCACTGCAGATTACATACAGGGTTCCAGTTTTTTGACTAGGATGTTGTTATAAGCTTCTTGTGTCTTGGGTTGCACCCAAATTTTGGTGCACTTACAGTGAATACCACATACCCAAAAGAAAAAAGAATAAAAAGGAGCTACAAGAAACCGAGAAAGACAAGATAACTTTCTTTCAAACCATCAATATGAACGAATTTAGCCTTACATAGAAACCAAAACACAATGTTGGAAATCAAGTTCTAGTATCTCCTCCCTTTCAATATTGAAATAGAGGAAGGGCCCCTAACAAACACAAAATGAGAAATAGGGCTCACAACACTCAAAATCAACAGAGAAATGAGTTGAAGGGTGAACCAAAAATTTCAAACTTTATAACAACATGATGCAATGGATAAGCTAGGCATCCTCCCCAAGCGAAGTACACCACAAAGACTCCCGGATGTGATGAGAAGTAAGCAAGGGTTCCCTTGCTTTAATGGACGAGGGTGGGTAAGAAGCTAATCCAAACAAGAAAATGCTAAGGAACTTGATACACATGAACATTAATTGGTAAAGGGATGGAACTAGTAAATACTATGATTACAAGAAGAATCAATATTATTTGTTTATAAGAAACTAAGATGGGGGGAAATCTAGGAAAATTGACTGAGCAATAAATAAATTCTGGTATCTTGAAAAGAGAAACATATGAATCGAAAGGAATAATTGTAGATAAAAATTTAAAATAAGAAATGGTACAAATTAAAAAAAGATAATTATATTAGTGAAACTGTTCGGAGAATTGTCACTAAAAAAGCCAAAAAGCAACTTTTTTAGTAATTTCCCAAACAAATTAGCTTTTTTAGATTCTAAAAAAAGCCAAAAAGCTACTAAAACAGCCAATGTCATAATAACATTTAAACATGAAACCAATATTAGCCAAATAGATTTATTTCTTATGAGGAGAGTTGATAAAGGAATATGTAAGGATTACAAAGAAATAGTAGGAGAGCCACACTACACAAAATATGTTAACAATAGTAGATGTATGAATTAGGAAATATAAAAGAGGATAAGTAAGCGTGTAGGCACCCACAAATTAGATGGTAGAGATTAAAAGGGGAAATTTTAGCACTCTTTAAGAACAAATTGATTAAGGAAAATGGACTAAAAATGAAGAAACTAATTCTATGTGGTGTGAGATGACTGTTGTATTAAAGAAGTAGCAAAAAAGAGCCTTGAAGAATCTGAGGGGAATGGGTTAACCATATAAAGAAACTTGGTGGTTAATTGAAGAGGTTCAAAAAGCAAACAAAACAAAAGGAGTTCGTCACAAAGTTTTCTGCACATGTAGGAATAACAAAATTTTTGTACGATATAAAGTTACTAAGACCAAAGCTAAGGAAGCATTCAAGCAGGTTAAATTAAAGGTTTAAGATGATCTTTATCTTAACTTATATATATATATATAAACTTGTCAAAATAAGAGAGAGAGAGAAAATAGAGACCCGGACTATGTCAAGTGCATTAACAGAGAAGATTAAAGAGTGATGGTTAAGGAAATATGAGATCAAGAAATGGTGGAGAAGTTAATTGGAAAAGTATATAATGAAAACCACTCAAGAAACTTGTGTTTGGGAGAATTAAATAAATCTAGTAGTAATATTAATTAGAAATTCTTTCACAAGATCAGATTAACAAAGGTAAAGAATGCTATGAGGAAGATGAAAGTGGGAAAAGTTGTAAGAACAGAGGGAAATACCCATTGAAGTTTGGAAGTGTTTGGGTGATGAAGGGACAATTAGTTTACTAATTTGTTTTATAAGATTTTGAATTTTAAGAAAATGTCTAATGAATGGAGAAAAAGTACATTATTTCTTTCTAACAAACAAGAACGACATATTCAAAGCTACACTAATTATCGTGGTATTAGGCATTGAAGAGATGAAAACATAAGACAAGACAACGGTTTCAAAAAATCAATTTGGTTTTCATGTATAGGAGATTTACTATGGAAACTATTTTTCTACTTAGGCATTTAATGTGAAAATAAAGAAAAAAGAACAAAAATTTCCACATGGTGTACCTAATTTAGAAAAAAACATATGATAGGGTCCCTAGAAAAATAATGTAGAGAGTTTTCCAGAAGAAACGAGCACTGGTTTAGACAAATTGATGTATTGAAAGACATGCACGATGGACTCGTGTCATGACTAGTGTAAAGACATGTACAATGGACTTGTGACTAGTGTAAGAAGAATTGTAGGGGGAGAAACAAGTGAATTTACAATACATGAATGACCAACACCAAGTATTTACCTTTTTTGCATTAGTTATGAATAAATTTATTAGGAATATTCAAGAGGATATCCCTTGATATATGTTGTTTACAGACGATTTAGGTTAGTTGATAAACAGGAGAATGAGTAAACTTTTATGCTAGAATTATGAAGAGATATTTTAGAAACTAAACACTTTAGGTGAAGCATGACTAAGCAAGAATATGAAGGGTAGCTTTAGAAAAAGTACAAATAGGGATAATGGTTGAACAAAACTTGATGGGCATGAGATACCTAAGAGTGATTATTTTAATATTTTGGGTCAATTATACATAGAGATTGATTGAGAAGGGTATGATCCATAGATTTAGGGAGAGATGAATGAACTGCAGGACTGCATTAGGAGTGTTGTGTGATCGTAGGATTCCTATAAAGTTGGACGGAAAATTTTATGGGACTGCTATGATACCTGTTATGATGTATGGTTTTGAATGTTGAGAGGTAAAGAAAAAACATGTTCTAAAAATGAGTGTAATTGAAATGAAAACATTAATATAGATGAGTATTGTTACAACAAAGGACGTTAAGAAATCAATCTATTAGAAGGAAGTTAAAATAGCACAACTTCAAGATGAGACGATGGAAAAATGATTGAGATGGTATGATTACAGATCAGCTTCATAGACCATTAACCAGCTTGTAAAGAGGGGTGATTTGATCAATGCGGAGGGTGAAACAAAATAAAAGAAAGCCTAGGGGAATTCATGTTGAGCAGATACAAAAAGATATGATCTGCGTTACATGAACTCGGCTGTTTTGGGGGGGAGTATTCGTGTCAACACTACATGCTACGAGTGTGGGTGTGGAATCTAGATCAGTTCGATCTCGCTCGGACACGGCCAACTCAAAGAGGAAGGTGTGCGTACCTTACAGAGAAGTTCGACCTGTGAGTTTATGGCTCAGAAATGAAGTTCGATCAATGCCGGTCGGTGATGATGTTGAAGTTCTTGATCAGAGTTGGCATCAAAATTTAATCAGATTTGAGTTCGATCAAAAATTCGACCATTTGAGAGATAGGGTTTGAAGAATCAATCAGATCTGACTGTTCTATTTGAGAGAGAGGCTTTGATTTGAGAGGTAGCAAAGTTAGGGTTTATGTGAAACTGCAACAAAAGAGAGGGTAGACGGAGAGACGGAGAGAGTGAGTATCAAGTCCTATCACCTTGTGAAAATATGAGAGAGAGAGAGAGAGAGTTGTGTTACATAGACTCTTTAAACTAAATCAAATACCCGTGTCAGACACCCGACACTCGGACAAGGGCATGGGATATGTATCCGATACTTTCCATTGGGTATTCGCATATATGTATAATTAACACTACCTTATATGTAACATGTGTTCTGTAATTGTTATAAAATACCTTTTTGACGTTGTATGTTACATATAGTACTATTTTATCTCACATAATAGATTAAAAATATAAAAATATGACTATCCTTAAATTTGAAATTTGATGAGTCTGACCTCTAGATATGCACCCGACACCCGTATCCGAGTCCATGTAACAAAGAGAGAGAGAGAGAGAATCCACGTCATTGCTATTATGCGTAGAGAAGTGGAATTGAGTAGGCAAACCATTAATTGATACAATTTACTTAATTGATATATTAACTTTGCTCAAATAAATATGCGAATATAGTAAAAATAAATAAAAATAAAACTAAGCTTAAAAAAATTAATTGATTTGTTAACTAGGTAACCTAATTATTTAGGGCGTGTTTGGTAATATTTATATTTACAATTTTTAGTTTATATTTATAGAAATTTTAAAAATTGTAAACAAAAACTCTCATTTATAAAAAATATTGGTTTCATTTGTTCATTTTATTTATTTATTTATATTTTCATTTCTTCTTTCTACACCGCAAAACCCAAATTACTGCCACTCATTATTGCACATCAATACCATTGACAATGATCTCCAACCACCACCTCCCTCAGCCGCCAACCACCTTCTATGGTTACCTTCAGCTACCATCGAACACCATCTTTGACTGTCAGCAACCGCTTTCAACCATCACTTCCCACGACCGCCAACCACCTTCGACCACCGCCAACCACTTTCGACCACCACCTCCCACGGTCGACAAACACCTTCGACGGCCAACAAATACCTTCAACCACCATTTCCAACAGTCAACAATCACCTCTCGTAACCCCCTTTCACTTGCTTTCAAAACAAAATTTAAAAAAACTTGTCTAACAAACATGTTTTTTGTTTTTGTTTTACCAAAAATAAACAT